AATGGTTCGTTGCCACTTATTTTCATTCAGTCTTACTCCGATCAAATTTTGTTTCACTTATTTAATATATGAATTTTTCAATAAACATCCTGTTTCTCTTGCGGACCATCTTAGAAGTCCCTCTTGGATCTCTCGATCGTAAGATTTACAATTATCAGTTTGGAGAACATATTTCTAGATTGAAACAAGTTTAAAATGGGGAAATTTTATACGAATAAAGATAAATGATCCAGAAGTTTAAGCTAGCCTTCATCAATTCATATCGTGTGATATTATTACATAGGGAAAGCACATTTTACCAATATTAGTCTGTTCAATTTTTGTTACAAAGCATAGTAAGGAAGAAAAAAAAATTTTTTTTTTGTTTTTCGAATTGGTTCATTTTATTCATAAAAATATATTTATTTAATTGTAAATGAAAATTATAAGGAAGAATGTTTGGCTAAAAGCCAGAAATTTTAAACAATGAACACGCACCTTTGTGTACATGTATATATGCACATATATATATTTGTTACTGCGTTCCAATTTCATTTATTTACTCTGTTATTCATATAATATAATAGTAATGATAATAGTAATAGTAATAGTAATGTTAATAATAGTCATAGTAATGATAATAATAATAGTAATGATAATAGTAATAGTAACGATAATAGTAATACTATTAGTAATGATAATAATAGTAATAGTAATGATAATAATTCTTATTATTCTGAATAAAACAATAACAAATATGAATGATAAAATCAAATATCAGACATCACAATTATTTTATGTAGAGTGTTCCCTATTGAAATGATGATATTATTTCAATTTTGCATGTGCTACTTAGGAAGTAGTATAATTCTTAAATGAAAAATTTTTTATATCGTTTCACCATTTAATAGGTATTAAAAATTGAAAGGTGTTTTGTTGATTTTAATTATTTTATCTATAGCTTTTTGTATAAGGTAGAGAAAAATCGACTTGAAGTATTATTATAAATTCAATTGAATATTAATCATTACTGAATGTTCGACTGTTGGAGATAATCGGGTGGAATTTTTCCCAGAGTGAATATCAACTCTAGGATGCAAATTCATCCAACTGAAGAGTTCCAAATAGGACGAAACACGCGTCCTAGATTCTTCAAATGCTAGCCACTATCCATATCTGCTCATAAGTTACAAGTTGGTACTCAGTAGTTCAGATATGTTCTTATGATACTGTAATTGTAATCAATAGGAAACTTTCGTTTAGAACTTTTTGCCAATTTGTTTCAGCTATCTTTTTATTTTCCAATAATATAGATTAGTCTAAAATCATTTATTATTTGGTGACTAAATCGACAAATTGATCGATATAATTTTAACAGTACTTCAAACTAGACATTATTGTAACTAATACTTAGATGGTTAATCTAGACACAAACATACATACAATCAACATATTTTTTGCTGTTGATAATATCATACATTCTAATATTATGTAATCATGTCTTTTTTAACAAATTAGACTAGTTACTATTTCACTCTACAAATCAATTGATTTTAACTAACTTAAATATGATGAAAATTGTATACTTTACTTAATGATGATACAATCAATCCTATCAAATTTAGTGTCCAATAAAAATTTATTTGTCTAATCAATGTGCCCGTATTCATATTATCTAAATATTATGTTCATATTTACATGAATTATGATTATACATACATGAGCCTGTATCTATGTATCTATGCATGTATGAATTTGTTTCAGTTATTATTATCATTATTATTAGTCTATCGGAAATAAAACAAGTCCCTCTAAAATAATCTAATCAATATTTACAATGCTTATTTTATTCGAATGTAACAAATTTATTTTTCTAATATAAAATAAATCATAATTTTTTTGGGGAGAAAAACAGCGGTGGTTATACATAAAATGTTCATATATTTGCCGTTGTATAGGAGTGTAGTTTAAATATACTTTGACTAACCAATTATAAATTTTTGTGCACGTATGTATTGGAAAATATTAGGAAAAAAAAGACATCAAAAGTGATACAGCTCTATAAATATAACAATTGTTACTACTGTAATGTGGTCTACTTATACTCATATAAGTAGTATATGGCGATGGTTAGAAATAGAATGTATTTTGACAGAAGACCGATAAGGAAAGAACTGAAATGAAATGCAATTTGAGGGAAAATGCATGAACAATGCAATTAGAAAAGATGAACTGATAGTTACAGAAGGAACAGTTAAGATTGAGACAATTGGTTGTTAATTTGCAAATTAATTGTTTGCTGTGTGGTTATCAGAGTTTAATTCGATTTTCCCCAACCAGTGTTTTGCTCACTACACTACTACTACTTCTACTACTAAAGATAATTATAACAGTAATATTACTTACTGAATAATATTCTATGCACCAACTGATTACATTGATTTACTGAAATGAATGTATATTGTGTAACTTATAAGTACTGTTTTCCTGTTTCATAGGCATCAATTTGTATTATTCATAGTGTTTTGACTTGTCAAATAATAATTAGTTATCTTAATGTTTCACTAGTAACATTATACACACTGATGAGATCTAATGATATTGATTTGATTCGTTATTTGTTGTTTGTTTAAAGTTCTGACTCCAGTCGTTTTGTCTGTCTTACCCTTAACTGTTCACTTTGAATGTAAATTCACCTATGGTTGCTTGTATGCGTCACAGATTGATCTCAGTTGGTGTTCTATCATAAAAATTCCTTCAACTAATCTATAATATTTAGCTTATTAGCAACTTACCTAAAAGTATTCCTGAAATGCTGGTGAGAGGCCTTGACTTGTGGAGTTCAGACTTATCAGAAGGGAAACACTTTTCAGCGATGGAATTGAATAGGTCATTTCTCTGTCATAAATTGATTGTAGTTAAAATTTACTATTAAACCTCGGCCAAGCGATTCAAATAGCTAAAAGTTTGTCGATTTACCTGAAGGTTTTAAGTTAAGTACCTGTAGAGTTGTCAGTGTTCACTCCTGAGGAGTCCCGTTCTAGGATGAAAAACTGTCTATTGCTTCCCAGTCTTCTACGTTATTCTGAATTGCACCACCGCAATCCAAGCAGTACTGTATAAGTTTCACGTCCTATTTCGGGACTACCCGATGATAGCAGGCATTCATGACCTCGATGGGAGCATTGGGTTTTTAAGTCGACTTTGCGAAGTATCTGTTTGGTTTATAAGTTCATTCAAAATATCAAGTCATTTTATTAGTTTTGAGATGATTATGTATAACTTTACTCCATCTCTACAACACCAAGTATGTTCAACATTAATAGTGAATATTACTTAACACCACAATTGTGGTGATTTCATCAGACTGTTTTAAAGTAGGCTAACCTTTTAATAGTATTTCCAGAAAATCATCTTTATATAAAGTCAAATAAAACGCATATTTCTTAAAAGATAACTTTATTCATGATCACTTAGTCCTCAATTTCAAGCTATCTATCAGTATGTATATACATAATCATCTGTAAACTATTGAAATGAACAACACTAGGTTTTACAAATAAGCGCGTTACCATTTAGACACCAGGCATGTCTACTAATCTACTTTCTAAAGTGGTTGGAGTTCGGAAATGTTAACAGGTCTATTATCTCACTTTTTTGATTCCATTGGACCCAACAACGAGTCATTAATACTTTTTAATTTGGTCGTGGATAGCATGGAAACTTATAAATGGTAATGACCTATAAGCCTGAACAATCACTTTTTAACGGTACAGTTAGTGTTTGTTAAATACTAAATAATTAATGGACAGTAATCAATGTCATAATATTTATTCCTTAGTGCTGACAGAATTCTGTATGTCAGTTTGTAATGGATCACTAAATTTTGGGATGATGGAGGAGGTTTGTAGCTCAGGTGGATGAAGTTTGTGCTGATGATATCATTCAGAATAAAGATAGAAGCTTCACGACCAAATCAGACCGCTCAGAGAACAAAACTCCACCAGAATCACTAAGTTGTGTAACTGTATATCATAGTGAACTTTATCTGTTAGATAACTATCTGTAAGAAATCTCTAGAAAGAGATACATCTGCAATTCTGGGAGGTGGATGCTATAATTTATTAGATTCTACTAAGCGTTGTTAATTGTCATAATCAAAGACGTTATTATTAGAGTTATTGGGACTGCAGTTTGTCTCCCTGAAGACTGATATTTTAACACTCATTGTTTATTGAGGTGTAACAAACATCCCAGTGTCGATTCTATTTCACAGTTCATGAAAGAATTTTTTGTTTATTCATTAGATTGCATTATTAAACACAATTTCTAACCAGATGACTGATCATAACAACTTGATAATGTGCACACACACACATTCCTAGGAAACAAAGAGTACTAAGTTTCCAGTGTGTACGTGTATAGCTTTTTCTCCTTTTTTTCTAAAAAGGAACACATTTATGCATGATTAATTGAATTCTAAGAAATAACATTTTTTACTTTAACGGGACATTAGTTGCTATTTTGTAGAGCTATACTAACTTCATTTGACTATACACGTGTGCGTGTGTGTATTTATATGCGTATGTGTATACTTGTGTATGATGTAAAGTGTTCAGCTGTTCAAGAATTTGGACACATCAAACATTTTGAGGCTGTCAGTTCTATGGAAAATAGTGAAAGAATATAAATATAATATAGTTTATAACATTATATATAACTAGTGAAATGCACTTCACTTGGTCCATATAAGACTGTAAGAATAACCTAGTTTGCCGCTAGGAAGTTTATATTGTTAAAAAATTATTAACTATTGTAGTAAATGAAGACTTGGTGGGGGAAAACTAATTAATAGTTGAATGCAAAATTACACAATTGATTAGCAAAATATGAAAATCATACATCAAATACATCAAATACATCATTTGCACATTTTTTGGGCTGTCATATACTTTATTATCCCTCTAATTCTGTTGTTATCTTGATTGTTCTCCGATTTCCTTCCTGTTTTCTTTATTTCAATCTTCTGCTGTCAGGCATTCCACCTCCAACTGGTGCTATTTACTACTTATGTCTGTCAACATAAGTAGCATGCAGCACACTATGTTTACAAGAAATGTTTTGTTACCAAACACTTCTCTCGTTCATTAAATTTGTTTGTTGTTATATGCGCATACAATAAACATGTTTTCGACGGAGGATTTCATCTCAAAAGGGTGTTAGTAATAGAATTGCTAGGTTGTGCCTAGTTATGGTACCCATATTCAATAGTGATTTATACGGATTCTAATGATGCGTCGTGACTGTTTGGAGTCTTTGAGAATTCCTAAAAGCCTGGGAAAATGTTGAAAACACATCATTCAATAAACGCTAAGGGACAACTTTCAAGAAATTTCCAGAGAGACAACATAATGTGTTACACTCTGATGGGATGGTTACACATTTTATTATTAAATTTAGTGAGTTTCGAGAATCTTCCAACACATAAAGACCATCCATATTCAAATAAATGTTTTCTGTAAATAATTTAACCTCGTATATTAAGCTTCTGTCCATACTTCCAGCCTTCTTTCTAGGTAGTTATAGGAAGATTCGAGTACTAAACTTATCAGTGACATTTCAAATCAACTAGAGATTATATCAGGTGTTTTGTCAATATTATAGTAATTTTAATAGTTGAGGTCATGAATCATTTGAAGCTAGACCGCCATGGAAAACCTGGAAGCACTGAACGACTGTTTCGTCCTATTTCAGGATTCCTCAGCAGTGCGCATCCACGACCCCGTCATGCGAGATTCAAACCCAGGACCTATCGATCTTGCGTGCAAACTCTTAACCTATGGACCACTGAGCCGGCATCTAACGGTGTTAATGTCTAACTTCAACTATTCCACGAAATTGAGCAACACATCCACCATTGTCTTCACTGAGTTGCTATCTCACAACAGACATGGTTGAACTCCACTGGTCACTGCTTCTCAATAGAACTCCAGGATATACCCCTTGAAGCCAGTCATTAGTGTTCTCAGCTATTAAAATTACCATAATATCCCCCGAAACCCCCCTTCTGGTATATAAATTTTATTGATGATTTAAAATTAAAAAAATTGTGATATTTCAAATATAATGAATTATTGTTTGAGATCAACTTTGGGAATGATTATTTAAACAGTTAGACAGTATTAGGCATTTATCGCTTTGCATAACAATACTTCTTTTCTTTTCTTCGTAATACTGCACATGTTTGTAACTATCTCAGTTTAATATTTTCAATGTTTTAATACTTAATGATAGGAAAAACAGGCTGATTATGTGTTACTTTGCAGCAAGTGTCCATGTGGAAATTATTGTTTCTCTTTTTTTTCTGTGAAAGCATTCATCATTGTTATCAGCTGATACTGTAGTGAACGAGTACACAAGTGAGGACAATTAAATGTATTCAAACACAAAATTAAAGAATTTAATAGTAAAATCTATGAACCATAAAATAAATACTTCATTTGCAGAATGTTGATCAATCGTCCCATAATTCATAGTTCCTTCGTTTCGTACACCAATCATTCACTGTTCTCGTTTTCTTTTCTTGCATCTTTTTTAACTTTTCGCTTCCAAGCATTTCACTTACGACTGGTGATACATACTACTTATATCTGTCGACATCAGTAGCACACACCACAATACCATTTATTTCCATTAAGAATTATAACCACATCATATTATGGTAAAATTATAAGTAACGTATAAAATCGATACATAAATGAAATGGTCGGATTGTTTTTGACACAAATGAATAATTTTGATATAATAATAATCATTTAGACAATGTATTCTGTTAAACTTCACATGTTATTATAATATTGTTTTTTGGAAATTGTTGAGCTTTACAGTTTACAATATGAACTGACTTTTGTTAGACAGATATTGACCCTATCAGAGATCAAACTCGCTTATCATTAAGTTAACATCCAATAATTCATATTTTTAACTTCAATAGATTTATGATATTATATAACCATTATTCAATACTATTCATGGGTAATTGCCTTACAACCGATATAGTTGGAACGGCACACAAGGATGAAATAGCTGTTTAAAGCCTTTTAGTTTTCAATGTCTCTCTGATATAGGTCAGTTTGTCGTGATTTAAACTACAGAAAACATGTTAAGCTATTTGCGATAAAAAAGAGACTTTGATTTATAAATGTATTTTAATTGATTTGAAAACATTCAAAACACCTAAAACATTACGTGATTCCTCGAAGGTTTTCAAATTATAAAAGAACTTATTCAACAAAGGCATCCCTTTTACAATTAGTTTATTTTCAACACGATCATAAGCGATTTCCCAACACTTTTCAGTCTCCTAATAATTAATTCATAAGCCAATATACACTCACTATCCGATAAGTTTGACCGGTTTTTTAACCAGTAACCTCCTCCTTAATGAGAACTGACGGTTTTTTTTAAATGTTATTTTCTTTCCAGATCAAGAAGAAATAACTGGATCAATCAATTTTATACGTGTGCATGCGTTCTTGTGTAAATAAATAAATAAATAAACATATACGCACGTCTGTGTACGTAATTGATTGACTGTGTGAACACACATATACATACTTGTTTACCACTCTGTTCATTCTATCATGCTTCATAGTGTTGGTCTTAGTGATCCAACTGGAGCAGCGACAGTGGTTTATCCACATTTTACACCATTCCCACCACCCAATTCATCAACATTAAATTCCAATGAAAATTCTAGTCAGTTTCCAATTAATACAACTAATAACAGTAATGGTAATAATAATACTAACAATAATGGTATGTACACATCGAGTACAGCTGCGGCAGCAGCAGCAGCGGTTGCTGCATTGACTGCCGCTGCTGCTGCTTCAGCTGGTCTACCGTCGAATATTAAAGATTCCAGATGGTTAACACTTGAAGTATGCCGACAATATCAACGAAATCAATGTTCAAGAGATGAAAATGAATGTAAATTCGCTCATCCACCAACACATGTCGATGTACAAAGTGGACGTGTAATTTGCTGCTATGATTCAATCAAAGTAAGTTGTTTATAATTCCATTGATTATTAACTGATTGTTTAGTTCATTATTTCTCTTATTTACTAATACAGTAGTATATATATACTTTAAAGTAAATTGGAAATAAGTTGCTAACTTTTCGTCATTTTTTGCTGGAAGCTCGAAAACAAGTGTCAGCTTACTATTCACCTATATGAAAGAGCTTCATGAATAATATTATGTGTTTTTAATGCTTAAATTGTTGAAGATTATAGTTGAAATCATTAGTCAATTGAAGCTAAAACACCATGGAAAACCTGGAAGCACTAGATGACCGTTTCGTCCCATTGTGGGACTTCTCAGTAGTGTGTATCCACGATACCGCTTTGTGAGATTCAAACCCAGGACCTATCAATCACGCGCGCGATTGCTTAATAAGATTAATAAGAAAAACTCTATTCTGTCATCATATGATTGAAAAGATATAATATAAAAGTCAAATCACCGATGAAATATTTATTGATTATGATCTTATTATCCTACATTTACATTAATGTATCATCTTAATTATCACATTATTACTGATGAACTGAATAACAGATACTCTGGCGTCTTATAAATAGTTAAAAAATGAAGATTAGAATGTACAAATGCTTACTGTATAATTCTTAGTTTATTGTTTTATGAAATAAGTTTTATTGAATTTTCAATGAGTATCATATGCAATTGGCATGAAATTATAAGAAATATTTTGTAAAGCTGCTTTTATGATCTTGTAAATCAATCGAATATAAACTGATCTGCTTCTATTGAATGAATAGATCTACCACAAATATACTTTGCTTTAAGGAATGAAAAAAAGGTTAAGTGCTAGAGATTGATAGGTCCTGGGTTCGAATCTCGCGAGGTCGGATCGTGGATGTGCACTGCTGAAGAGTTCCACAAACGGATGAAATGGCCGTCCAGTGCTCCCAGCTTCTCCATGGTGTTTTAGCTTCAATTGATTCATGATCTCAACTATATAAAATTACAAAAAATCTCCACAAAACCCCCTTCTGACAAATAGCGTGTATTTGTATGTCTACTTATCTACAAAAGTGGTGTGGATTATTACATTCTATACATGTATTTTTACTCGATTTTGATTAGAAAATGCTGATCTAGATTCCTTATAGATCTCTTGTTGAAAATACTATTGTTCAGTTGCTATATCTTATGTCTTATCCTAACTTATAAATCGGAATTCGTTTTGTTTAATAAACTCGAATAAGTTCTATTCTTCTCATGAATAATGATGGTATTACTTGCTTTATTCAATACCATAACTGTTTGCTTGAAGTAAAGAATATTCAGCAAAAAATATACAAAACTACAATAAAATCACCCATTCATAGGGATTTAACTCGTGAATATTCAACAAAAGATGTATAGAACGTTTCTAAACATTGATTCACTCCTATGAATATATTCATCTATAGATGTTTACTATCAGTCTCACTCTCATGACATATCTCTTTTAATATATTTGATGTATGAATTTTAAGGTACTTGCCTCTTATTTCTCTAAAGGACAAACAAAGAAGACCAAGGAACTATACTAAGCATCATGTTGATGGTACTTTTTGAATATTCCAATAATTATATTCGTGATACGATTGTAAACATTCTATCAAGTCATGCAATCCAATATGGTTGACAGGCACCAAAACATCAAAGGAATAAATCTATGTGTTGGAAAAACGGTGGCCTAGAAGTTTTAATAGGCAACTGTGTCTAATCTTAGAGTTCACCAATATTTAAATAAATAAAATTGCAGAACTATATTGCCACTATCATTAGTTAATTTGGTTATGTGTGTAAAAAAAAATGAATGGACTGGAATCTTTCAGTTGTTAATACTAAAGACTGGAATTGATCAATATCTATTGACATATGTATATTCTGGGCGGAATACCGCGTTGTTGACATTAAGTCATAAGTTTAGTGTAAAGTTGAATAGTGGCTAACAAATAAACATTGAGACGCTTGTTTTGTCGATCTGCACTCAGTAAGCTCAATGGATAACACGTTGGTAAGGCATATGAAATGAAAGGTTCTAGGTTTAACTCAATGTAGACATCAAAAATGAAATGTGAGAACATCCAGCTGAGAAGTCTCAAGTATAACGAAACACAAATTCTGGATTCTACTACTATTCACTATCCAGTTTTACTTACTGATGATAATCATAATGTTGGAATTTTTTATCATCCGGTTATATTTCTGTATGTTACAATTTCTATTCTCATTCTATACATCATCTACCTTTAATTCAATCTTTCTCTTTCATTGTTTAACATGCTTTTGAATTTTTTCCCCTTTATTCCCTCGTTATACATGAATAAATGTATGTATGCCGGTTGGGCATGTGCAAGTGGCTGTTCCTCAGATCAAACAAACAAACATTTAACCAACTAATTTCATGTCAAATTTTATTTCTAAAAGATCAAAAATGAAATCACAATTTCTAACGACGGCATATATATATATATATATATATATATATATAAGAATATCTAGTTTGATAAATGATGGTAGCGTTTCTTTCATGTTTCTTCTTCCTATATTTATTCGTTTGTAACTCCCTTTTGCCACTCGTAGTTGCTTACTTACTTACGGACCTACCTACTTACTCACTTACTTACTTACTTACTTACTTACTTACTTACTTACTTACTTACTTACCTTCCGTTTATGTATTTCTTTCGATTTATAGTATAATATTGTAAAGAGTTTTTGTTTCATTAATTTGATTATCTTATTTATTAAAAGAAAATTGAACAAACCCTAAACTTTGTATACATCTATGTTCAATTCTAAAATAAAATGGATTTCATTTTTACATATCTGTGACATTTCCCATTACTTTTGTTTGTAGGTAGAATGTTTTCCGTTGTACAAATATTTGATGACTAAGCAAATAATCTACTAATCAAATTTGTGCAATTTTCGATAATATAGAGATTAACTAGTCGATTTGTTTAAGTCTTAGTGTGGATGAAGTTGTAACTAACAGATCAGTGGTTTAAATAATTAGATATATGATGTTACACTTTGTACAAGATGTTATAACTTTTGGCTTTGTGCACCATTAACATATAATGTAATGATACCATCAATTAGAGAACAATGATTTATCGACCGGACCAGTGATGCGTACGATTACTCTAGAGTCGTTATCGGTCTTTCTTCCTGCCTAACCCTGCCTGTTAGAGTCCAGAACACCAATATCAGCCTCTGCGATATGAACCACGTATTCCAAACATACTGGGTTTATATGCAAACAAAACGACCCATATCGTGCCATTAAATAGAAAATAACATTTGTACAAGATCTAGTCAAAAGTGGTTGTGAATGTGGGAGACTGTAAATAATAGACTGGAGATAACTCAAGAACGGTAAATCGTATAATAATGGTCCATGGGTCAAAATAAAGCTTATAATAAGAGAAACATGAATATACTACTTAACAATTATACAATAAAAATATATGCATCATATTGGTCCATAAAACGTTCTCGAAAGTTACCAGTCATAATTCTCATTGGGATATAACACAACACAACAGCACAAATAGTTTATTTATCATTTGGTTAACTGTGATCCCGGATGACACGGATCTATGTCTCAGCGAAGACAGTGTCATTTTCTGTAAGCTTTACTGTTACACCTTGTTTGCCATTTTTTAAACTAGAATAAAATATAATCCTAGAACTTTTATGGATTATTTCTAATCACTTAACATAATACTGTATCCAATGGTAAACAATAGTCATACTTGATTGAGCTAAGCTTTGATCAGTAAATGGTATTAGTTAGTCAATCAATATCAAAGATAAATGGCTATTTTGAAATAATGTTACTGGCGGACATTTGAAGATTATATGACTTTTAAATGTATTGAATTTCAAATCAATGGAATGAACGTGGAACAACACTATGCAAGATGATAGTAATATAGTCTAAGGGTTAAATATATTTTTTATACCCAAATAATAGTACAATAGAACTCTTTTTTTTTAGTTGTAAGATCATTTTGGCAAATAATACTGTTTAATAACTTGTTATATTAAACAGATAAATATAATTTAATGGTTGAATTCATAAATCAATTGACGCTAGACCACCATGGAAAACCTGGAAGCACTAGACGGCCGTTTCGTCCTAGTGTGAGACTCCTTAGCAGCGCGCATCTACGACCCCGCTCGAGAGATTTGAACCCAGGACCTATCCGTCTCGCCCGCCGACCCTTAACCCTTAGACCACTGGGCCGACATCCAATGGTGTTAATGTCTAGCTTCAACCATTCTGATTCAACCATTAAATTACTAAAGTTTCCACAAATCCCCCTTCTGAAAATGAATATAACATGATATTGTTACTACACTACATTGTTCAGATTCTATCTTTTTATTAGCATCACATGAAACCTTAGGTGTTTCCACACCTCCCAATGCATTCATTAAAACAAAGCCTATTATTTACAAACAGGTTCTAATAACACGTAACTTGAATCAAGTGTGATTGGTAAAAAAAGATGAATGTCAAGGTCATCCTTATGATTATTGTGAAAAATTGTGAAAATAGTAATCGATAACGTTCAATTGTAAATATTGGGATTGTTAAAATTATTAATGAGGAAATTTAAGCTAAGCAACTATTTACGGTCATTTTCTACAGTCAATCAGTTAGTGAACTACAAATAAAATAGAAATTAGTCCAGTAACTGAAGTTGTGACACTTCTTAACGGGATAGCAAAAGTAAAAGGTTTCAAATACAGCTGTAAATCAAACGAACTGAAATAATAAGAGTATCAATAATAGAATACTGAATATACGATTATTAGGTTTTGAAAAGAAATGAAAAATTCGATATATTGATAGAATTAAAGAAGACTGGATAACAAGTTTGTTGTAGTTTGGATCTCTATAACTTGATACATTCGTCCCACATCCCCCAGGGTAGGGGGTTTGGGACACTTCTGAATAGTTTCAAACTAG